ATTGCCTTATTCTGTCTGTGTGAAGTTCACGGATAGATTTTGGTCAGAATGGATAAAATAAAAAAAGTGTCAAGGGATGGGAATCGAACCCACGACCTTCCACTTACCAGGCAGATGCCATGACCACTAGGCTACCCTGGACATATTTTTCCGTTCATAAAGTTAATATATGATGCCAATATCTCTATCGATTTAGTAGGTGAAATGCAAAAAAAAAAATCGACATGATGAAATATTTATGAAAATTCACATTTTTATTTTTATATTTTCAAGACACACACAGTTTGGGGCGGGACGTTTCACAAGAGAGACATCCACTGCGCCAATTTATAATTGCAACGAATAGTATTTTAATGAAAACATTTTAAAAACACACAGTTTGGAACGGGACGTTTCACAAGAGTGACATCCATGGCGCCAATTTATAATTGTAACGAATAGTATTTGAATTAAAACGTTTTTAAAATATATACACACTCGGGTAAAACCCGGGCGTTGCCCGGGCCATTTGTCTAGTGATTAAATAAGCGATAAAAAATATTTTCGAAAAAAAAAAGCTGTGAACGTATCTAAAGCAACATTATATGGCGGATTCAAAATGTATTGAACCTATGGGTATCATAAAATTGCGTTTATATTTATCAGTATAAAATTCCACTCTCAAAGAGTATCCTAGGTAATCTTTACACTTCTGTTGAAAACGTTTCTGAAGCGCATGGAATGGTGATCAGTCAGCTGACAACTTGTCACATGATACCTTCTCTTTACTCAAATATAGTGTCATTTCGTGTTATTTTTAACTTGGAAAATAGACAAATGTGATATGGAGCCATGACAGGGGAATAAGGAGTCTAAAGTATCATAATAATATCGTGTTTGGCGGAAAATATCATAATCATATTTTCAGAAAGGCGAGAATGCTATCATAATAAAGCTGCCAAGTTTTTGCTGCCCCACAGACCTGTTTGTGTTGCGTCGTACAGCACAGTATTAAGAAGACAATGCATGTCTTAAATAGAAGTATTCTTTAAAGTGACTTGGTCTTGTGGGGCAAACTCATGGTACATTACTCCACGGTGTAGAAAATCAGTTAACAATACCTTGACCTATCTGTAGACACGTCAAACATATTTTTTCCCCTCTCGGGATATCTTATTCTTTCACTGGGCAACTGAATCTTGTTTTCTGGCTCGTAACAATATACCTACGACTCATCGCCTGTGATCACAGTGTTCAAACATTGAGGTTACTTTTTGTATAGTCCAACATCTTCTAATTTCTTGGAAAGTTGTCTGTTGAAGGACGTCAAAGTCCGAAAGCTTGCCGAATTTACAGCATTAATAAAAGAAACTCGTCGCCGTTAACTTTTGTTCCTTCTTCAAGATGATGTCAGGCGATTCCTTCTCTTGTATAGTCCAACATGTCCTGTGCGATTTTCAGACGGTCGATTTTGTTCCATTATTAATAATTTCAGCATGGAATTTGCGGAATTCTCCATATGCCCAAATTATCGGTCAAAATTGAATATACTGATACAATTTCTACTCCTATATCGATAATAAACTATTGAACTGGTATAAGAGTGTTTTTCATATTCTTAATTTGCGCTTGCTCAATGACATTCTTATTTAGGCTTTTTGAGGGTCTGCTTGAACGCGATTCGCAGTCAAAAGATGTGTGGCCATATTTGAATCAATTTTACGATTATTTTATCATTGAGTTAATCATTGCATCGTATCTGAATGTCTATTGAATAATTCGAATAGTTTCTATTTGGAAATCGCCAAACCTTTTGTAGAATCTGAGGCAAATATCGCTGCTAGTGTTGTTAAATTATTTTACCACTGACTAAAATCCAACACACGTTCACTATACATCCCCACTTCTAGGCTGACTGATAGCAATTGAGGTTTTTGGTTGTTGGAGAAAATTTCACGATTATACACATTTTCCTGAAGATAGAGGTTGCCTTGGCCGGCATTCATATTTCTATGAAAAAATAGACACTTCGGCCAGTTAGAGTTTTTATTTTTCTCAACGTTTCGACAAAAATATTTGAAAAAAAAATTTCAACGCCTTGCCAAATGCTTTTTTTTTATTTACTTCTCCCGACGAAGACAAAAGATTTTTATCGAAACGTTGAGAAAAATAAAAAACTCTAACTGGCCGAAGTGTCTATTTTTCATAGAAATATACACATTAATGTTCTTTCCCCCTATATATTGAAGGAAGCCTTTCAAACTTAATTGGTTTACGAGAAAAAAAATGTTATTAGAATTTGAACACCCTTCTTATTTTATGTTCTAAGAAGCTCTGAGTAGCTCAGTCGATAGCAACTGACTTTTTTGGTAGCTGGGAAAATCTCATGATTATACACATTTAATCATACGTACCCCGGCATCATTCCACACCACAGTATACTACAAGGATAGCAGTACCCCCACCTACACCCATTTCAACCCATAGTACACAAAATTAACATCTTTAAAACACTCACCAGGCGCCTTCATACACACTGCTCTCTACCCATCTTTAAAACCACAGAAAAAGCCCGAATCATCTCCCATCTCACCGCCGCCTCCTATCCACTAACATTCATCAATAAACATACTTATTCTCCCGCTCCCTACAATCCTCCCCCAGTTTTCAGGACTACCTGCATGTTGCCCTATTCTCCCTTAACAGTTAGCATCTCCCGCCTCATTAGGCCATTTGGCATTGGCACTTTTTCATTAATACCCCCAGTATCCACTCACTTCTCCGACACCCCATTACAAAAACTGGTACCCGGCTCAGTCCTCTTGATTCTTCTGGGGCGGTCTACTCTGTCTCATGCGAACATTGCTCCGCCACTTATGTGGGTGAGACAGGTAGAACCGTCGCCATTAGAATGTCAGAACATACCCGCAACATTAATAACAACGACCCACGTTCCCTCATCTATCAGCATGTTGCATCCACTGGCCACTCTTTCAATACAAACCACCCCACTCTCCATTACCGTAACATACCCAACCTACACCAAAGATTAATGTTAGAATCCATAGTATCCACCAAACTTAAAAGCATAAATAGAAAAATAGAAATTCCCGAAATCTATGACATCTTTATTTCAAACTAATTTATTCCTTTTTACATAATTTAAAAAAATCTTAGGTACAACAACTTATTACCATATCACTACAATAATTACTTATGAAAATTAACTTCCATTCTAAAATTCTTACTGCTAAGCTATAAAATTGTGTACTATGTAAATCATCCCCATGTATATAAGTCTGTCTCTCGCCTTAATTTCTATGCTTCGTCAAACCTGTAGAAGGGCGTTTGCCCGAAAGCTCGTAACTTTCCCTAATAAAAAAGATTCTTATCTTCCGTCCAATGATACGTTTATCTTAAGTTGCATACCGGAAGAGTTTAAAGTTCTCATACACATTAATGTTCTTTCCCTCTATTTATCGAAGAATTTTTTCTAAATTCAATTGGTTTCTGCAAAAAGAAAAACAGGTTTGAGTCTTTTGAACATCCTTCGTATTTTATGTTCTAAGAAACTCTGAGTAGGGTGACTGATAGCAATTGAAGTTTTTGGTAGATGGGGAAATCTTGTTGGGCCAGATTTTTCACAAAATAGACCCAACAATGATGTAAACATTTACATCATATATATACACAGTGTCTTGCCGAAGTGTTTGATGTCCAGATGGAGATCCCACACCGATGGCCGACGGTGCTCTAAAGGTCAAAGCAGGGGAGGAAGCCCAATCGGAGGTGACACTGGTGGTACCGTGACCAAAATACCGGCCGACCCTCCACAGAAGGACAACAACGAGGCGGATTGGAAAATAAAGAACTGGAAGCAACCCTAGGCGTGTACTCCTAGACCCGCTGTAGAAAGATGGAGAATTCCCCAACGAGGAATCTCAACGATGCTTTAAAGTCCAGAAAGGTGGAGATGACACATATGCCTTTAAAGACCAGAAGCCGGGGAAGACACCCAGCTGGAGATGACACCTATGCCTTTAAAGTTCAGAAAGGTGGAGATGACACATATGCCTTTTAAGACCAGAAGCCGGGGAAGACACCCAGCTGGAGATGACACGGGTCCTGCCCAAGGATCCCGAAGCCCATTGCAGAGAGGTCCATCGGAGGATACACAAACTATGTACATATGTGCATATGTTGACTAATCCCAATCACCTTTTTCTTTTTATGCAATATGAAACGCCCAAAGGGTTATATTACCATTTCAAAAATTCACTAAATTTATTTTCTTTATTCTAAAAATGAATAAAAGCCAATTACTGGCACATCCAGATAGATTGGACATATTTCCTATTTTAAAATTTCTTAAAGAAGAAATTATTATGTAAATTTCTCAAAGGGGCAAACATGTTAGATTTTATTTAATTTTATTACTAATCCAAATTATCTCTTGATAAGAGAGATAATATAATTTTACCTTTATTATTTATTTTATTCTAAAATGAATAAAATCGATCACACACATATCTAGATAAAATGGGTGTGTCTAGTCATTTAAATTTCTTGAAGAAGAAATTATTATAAATTTCTCAAAGAGAATAAGCATTTATATTTATTATTTCAAAATTTCTCTTTTTAAAAAAAAATAATAATATTTTATTATTTAATTATATTCTAAGAATATTAATTTCTTTTTTTTACTCTGTAGGAAGATGACGATGGGCATTGGAGGGCGCTGTTTAAAAAATAACGGGCAGTTTTTGAGCGGGAGGCGTACGAAAGGGCCGATCCGGGAGGGAGCGCTGACATCCGGGAGAAACGGTATGTTAACATCTTCTCTACTAATTTAGGGCATGTTTAATATGTCAAAGAGACATATTTATAGCTTAATTTAATAGGTAGGAAAAGTTCATATTT